TCAGACGTGTGCTCTTCCGATCTCCCCAAAACCCCAAAACCCCAAAACCCCTGAGGGTGAGAAAACTATAAATCATGTGGTTTGTCAAATAAGCAATTATTTAATAATCTTAAATTTAAAATGACCCATAAAACTTTACTGAACTAATCCTATATAAAGCGTCTGCGAGAATCATCTTCACTTACCTGGCTGGAGCAGATCGCTGATCACGCAGAGCGATTGCTTAGAGTGGAGCAGGCCATTTGCACATCTGGCGTCTGTAATACTCTATTGTTTCCCGATATGGGAAAACCAAACAGCGAAATTTCTGTTAGTAGGGAGGCCTCAAAACCATCCCTGCATTCCAATACAAATGAATTGTTTGAATTAGAGATTATTATTTTAACAAACTTATATATAAACACTAAATGATTGTATTACTATTATTAAATTAACTAACTCATTTATTTAAACATATGTATACGGTTATTTCATTTTAGCATTTTATGAAATTCTTATCTTAATTTCCATGCATCAAAGTATCAGATAGTCCACTAATGGTATGATTTTCTAAATTATCTCATTTAGCGTTGCTTCCCTTCGAGACATTATTGAGCTTATTAATGTGATTTATCAGTTTTCTGCCTTAGTTCTCAAGAGCCATTCCTGCTCCAGTATGATTGCCTATCTTTGCATTTGATTTCTATCTTGACATAGATTGCTTTGGAATACTAGCAGCGTTAGTACTCATTGTCTCTTTTATTGGCGATGCACTGCTCTATGAGCCATATTGTTGCTAGATTTATCTTGTTTACTAGACTTTGGGGATATTATTTATCTTAAAACCACCTTTGGTCATATTGGCTGATGGTGGTGATGAAAACTCTATTGATTTCTTAGTTACTAGATTCAAGTTCTTGATAGTGTTTATTTGCTCATATTAAGTCATATTAATGCTTTGTTACGTATTACCCTCTATATAATTCATAGGTTCTTTATTTTGCTTTCTTAACTGATTATTGGCAATGATATTTTATTAATTACTTTGAAACTTTTAACCATTAGATGGAGAAGATGCTTCTTTTAATAGATCACCAATGGAATTCAAGCTTTGGGTTTAGAGGATTAGTAAATTCTGTGGCGAGGCTATTTATCTCTTATCTTGGCTACTTTAAGTTAGCATGGGGTTTATATTGAACGCCTTATCTTCTTTAGAAAAGCTTAGCCTAGCTGTATCATTAGATCCTGATCTTCTAGATGTTAAGCTAGGGGATTCATCTAAATATTAAACATGCCCGATTCCTTTTTTATTGGAACTTCCATGAGCTTATTTGGAACTAGTGCCGTATGCATGACTGAATCTTTCTTTCATTTTCATGTTTGAATCAGATATTTAATGCTTTAGTAGCAAATCCCTTAGATATTCATTGGTTTGCTTTGAAGTAAAAGAATCTTCATTCCTCATAATGACTTGTTGGCTTTCCTGATTGCGTTCATCATTATATGGCGAGTCATTGAACATCTCTTACTCATAAAGTAGCCTATTTTAGCCTTCAAATAACATAAATCCATGTTGACTTGAATTGTGACTCTATAGATTCATTATAGGCGAGAAATCAGTATTTTTAGGAGATTACTCGTATATAGATGATTATTCATTAAGCTTTGCATTTGTTTGCAGGTTCCTCTAAATATACTCAAACTTCTAAGCTTATCTTTAAATATTCGAAGGTCTTTAACTTGCATCTGTTGTATGCTTAACTTAACCTTCTATGTTTTAACTGAAATTGACTAACCTTTCAAGTTCGTCGACATCAAATTTAGTTTCTCTGTTTGTGAATAATTAATCCAATATCTTACTAGATTATTCATCATCACCATTTAAGCTAAGAGATTTTTCATTAAAAGGACCAACTTGATTTTATTTATTGCTTCTAAGTTGGATGCTCTATTAAATATCATCATCCATCATCTATGCTTGAATTATACTTTGACTTTGAGAGTTTTCTATCATTGATTCTTTAATCACATCTTCAAGATTTGGAGCATCTAACACTTATTATTTCATTATGAAGTCCTAGATTGTTTCCCCATCTTTCATTTTTTGTCTAATACCTCCAAATAAATCTGCTGTTGATTTCATTTTGCCGAGTTTATTATTAAGTTAACTGCTACCACATCTTACTAGCCCTTTCAAAGGTATATTTTACTGGGAGCCTAGTTACTTACCGCCTGCTCTCTGCAAAGTCTTTTTTCCAATATGTAGATAGGGATCCTCTTTCTACTATATTTCATGCAAAGAACTGCCATCAAATGATAAATCATCTCCCTAGTTATTTTGATATGTACTTTTCCTCTCCTCTTCAATTTACTACTCATAAATATGAAGTTGATTTCTCAACTGGTTGCCATTTAAATTATGATTATTTACTAAGAAGCCACTTCCACTATTGTTATAGTAATAGTGATTATTAGATTGCTGCTGAGGTATAACATAATCGCTTTATTAGGTAACATTGGTCTAGGTGAATAGTTGATTCCTCATTAAATCCAACTGCTTCTTCAATGTGGCTATTTCCTTATCCTTTAGCATTAATTGATCTGTAAGAATTTCTATACTTCTATTTTTGAGTTCTTTATGGATGATACTAAGTTGTTCCTCCTTTTGGTAAAACTCCTCCTCAGAAATCGCTGGGTCATCTTTTAAATTATTCCCAATTGCTAACCCATTATTGCTTAGTGTCTCTCCCTAATAGCTTTTAAGAGTTTTACTGAAGTTAACGCTGTTCTATTATTGACTTATGATCTTGAGCATCTTAAGTTTTTGGGAATTACCCATCGTACTGCTTGATCCCATTCCACCTGATTTATACTTCCCACCAGTTCCACTTCTATGAGTCGAACTCATTGATGCATTACTGCTGTGTAAATTCACAGAAATCTGCTCCATTGATTGTATCATTGGATTTTTAAGGTGAGTTTTGAATTTTTCTGCTGACTAAGGCTGCTGAATCTGTTGATGATTTTAAGTTCTGTTATGATTGTTGGGTCTACCACTAGACGGTCTGTTAATGTAAGCTCTCTATGTCCTTGAATTGATATTATTTGATTACTAATGATGGCCAAGATTTCCATAGGATGGTTTTCTACTCATTGCAGATTAGAACTACTCTTTAGTCATTTGATGAGAGGCAGTTGGAGACTTTCTAAGATTGCTAATTTGCGAGGTTGAATGATCCATATTGTTAGATAAGTTCGATTGTATCAGATTATTTGAATAGTTTGAATTTGAAGTCATCATGTTATTCATCTTTAAAAATGAATTACCCCCTGTCGATGATATAAGAGCGAGTCCACTTCTCTAAATCTTGTTTTATTGGTTATTATAAAGTTATGAATTAGGCTCCTATTAGTTTTTAGGCTTCTTAGGGTTGTACTTGGCATTGTAAAGATTGTTGATCTTTCTATTTTGATTTGCTGTTAAACTTGTTACTGATGGATTGGTCATGAGTGTCGGCTATTACACCTAGTTAGCTTTTAATGAGTTTTAATATCTCAATGATATTGATAGCTCTTTGGACTTATTTGCCTGATTATCTCATAGATTATTGTTAGTCAATCTAGAACTCGTAAGTGGATATTAACTTGGATGATGTATTCTTTGAGCTGAATAAGTGAGCTTTGCATGACTGTCACTGATATTGTTTGAGCTTTCCATCTCTATAATTTATCAATAAATATAATTCTTAAAATTTAAAATTGCCATTTGTAAAATATTACTTCATCCTTATGGGGTTTTGGGGTTTTGGGG